CTTAGCATGTTTCGTGCATCTTCTTTTGACAGACTGCACATCCGCCCGACGATAAACAGAAATGCCAGACGGAGGTATTATTCTCATTTGAAATCACGACAGCGTTCCGTTTCCTGTCTTGTTTTCACCGATTTCCGTTTGCAGCAATCGCTTGACATCACAAAGCGGATAAAAGTTAAAGAAGGATAGTCCCAAAGCCTGGATGACGTCACAACCCGGATGACGTAACAGCACGGGTAACGTTATAGGGCGGATGACGTCACCGCCCACACGTTGGTGACCTTTGACGAACAGCCGTCGTGACCGAAGGCCTCGATTAGTTTCGTTATTTTTCAAAATATTTTCATTCCCACAACATATGCTATTAAAACATCCTTGACGTCAGCTTGGAATTACCATAAGCTGAAATATCACAAGCTGCTATCATAAGCCTTCGCAGGTGGGCGTCGCTGCCTTGCAAGCCGACTTGGAGATAAGCTGATCCGGTGATCCGTTTTCCTTAATTTGGTTTTGACTCTTTACCTTGATGCGTGATATTGTGGAGAGGGAGAAGATAATTAAATCAATATTTGTCTCGTCATTTTCGCTTGTAAAGGCACTGAGACTAGTAATAAGGTTTATTTCCCTTCTGTCGCCTGCCTTGATTAGACCCTTACTGTCGATGATAATCTACACGCACAAAACACGAGTAACTGACCCCGGATCATTTTTTTCTTTCCGTTTTCTCTTGTCTTCCCTCTCCTTCCATTTCTTTTTTTCCCTTCTTCTATCTCTTCTTCTTCTCACCCCTTTCTCCCTCCCTCCCCCTTTCTTTATTTAGATTCATTCCATTCTTCTTCTGTCTCTTATTTTTCATTTTGTTCCCACTTTCTAAAATCTTCTTCTTTATCTTCTTTCCATTCCTACTCTTTCTACGTATTCTACTCCTTCCTCTTCCCCTTCTCCCCTTTCTACATGCCACTTTAACTCCGCGGAAACAAGCGAAACCGACAAACTCTCTTCACCGTCAGCGAAATCGTCGTCTTGAATCCTTTACAAACAGAAAACGGGAAGACGGAACGTAGGTCATCATAAGATCCAAACCTCGTTTTAAGTAAAAGGGTCATCAAGATGTAAATAAAAGAAAAAAATCCCCGACGACGACAACTTAGGACAAAAGAAAGAAAGAAAGAAAAGGAAAACGCGAGTGTTTATGTTTTTTTTATTATTAATATTATTCAAGAGACGTTTCAAGTTTCACAAGACTCGCGTTTGATTACAGATTTGGTGTTGAAACTTGGCTCCTGCACTTGGCGTCCTTCACTCGCGGTGTCAAGGTGTCAAGGTGTTCATGGATAACATGTTATGGTTATTCTCTTTACCGGGAGACCAAACTGGGCGGAGAAAAGTACATTAACTAATTAATGTTAAGACTAAAGTACGATCTAATATTGCTTCTGTTTTCTTCGTCACGCACCCCCCCCTATTTCTCTCTCTCTCTCTCTCTCTCTCTCTCTCTCTCTCTCTCTCTCTCTCTCTCTCTCTCTCTCTCTCTCTCTCTCTCTCTCTCTCTCTTTCTATCTATCTCTATCTATCTATCTATCTATCTATATCTCTTTCTCTTTCCCCCTCTCTTTCTCTCTGTCTTCCAATATATACATCAATCTACCTATCTCTTTATATCTACCCAGTTCTATCTATCACCCTTTTGTCACATTTGTGGTCGTATGAATTTTAAAGTCTAAGAATTTAATAATCAAGTCTGGTAATATCATGCAAGTTTCATGATCGCGTGACTTCGAATGTTGCAGATCTTGATTACACGGACATCACTGTTTCAGTTAGTCAAGAAGTCCAACACGTATGTAGATTAAGCCCCTGAGCTTAATTTAGTCATATCATAAAAAAAAATTATGAAACACACTTCGATATTAGATATCAACTTGTACATGACGGTAGTTTTTACTGCTTATTTGAAGAAAACAAGATGTAACGTTGTGAAGTATTGTGGATGTATATGGTGAATATTTTTACTGAATATAAAGGTAAACCGTTTTTTTTTTTTTGTTTGTTTACATTAGCTCTATTGGTAATTTTTATGGATTCCAGTGAATGGACTTTTCACTCGTTGGTTACGTGGTAGATAAGCTGTCTGTCTACATTCGCCATCCCAGGTCTGTGTGGTTGTTATTAGCGAACTTAGTATCGATGAAAATATACTCTATTTTGGTGTGAGTAATGTTTGTACATATATCTGGTATGACGTGGCGTTTTAGTTGTAATGGTTAAATGTTTACGACTGGAACGTTTGTGCTAATTTTATATCAATACATTTCTCTTTCACACAGACTGTTTTACAGTAATTGTATTTTGGTTTGATCTCTGATAATTTCACAGAATATACACATTATAATTTACAAAACTACCGATCTGTTTCATGGATTTTCTCTCCTTGGTTGTTCCGCACACACGAAAGTCTTCGAACACGCGGAGGGACATGTTTGCGTTGATCATTAGCAGACGAACGGTGGATTTTCTCTACATGGACACAATGGCCTCTTCCATGGTTGATAAAGCTGAATGGATAATGGATGAACGCCAGTCGGATGGATATCCTTCTGGCGTGACAGCTGTTGAGCTGTTACCTAAGTAATGGATATATCTAGATCTTAAGAATTTCTAGAATAGATTTTTCGCGGGTGTCGTTGTCAGCTTCTTCATTCGCGGTTTGGCTGGTTTCTCTAAACGACTCCTCGAGGCCCAAAAAAGGCTCTGGACGCGAGTTTTGCTTCGTGAAAGCTCGCAGTAATCTTAAGACACGAAGTTTTGGTGTTGTAGTTATTATTACGTAGACTGACCAGTGTCCCAATAGCAAAGCACTAGCCCAGGACACGGTTCGTTGTCGCTTAGTGTCCTTCGGTGTCGGATGGGTCAGTTAGCTCCCGATAAGAATAGGCCCTATGCATATACAGTGCTTTCTATCATGCATCAGGTGTGACTGCAATGCTGGCGGTGAGAGAGTGTCACGTGTGTTACGTGCTGCTTTAGTGTGACTTGCGTGTCTGTGTAGTCATAGAGGATATATCAGCTGCTCCATGCACATAATGCTATCTTGTGACTGCTATATTTAAGTGTGATAGTGTGCAATAGGCTGCGTACACTAAGAGCTCCATGAGATGCTGTCGTAGTACGTGCGTTTTTTCCTACATCACTGTTATACCACATATGCTTCGATATTACATTCGAAATGTCCTTGTTTAATGCGCGTGCGCAATGTCTTTTAAAGCTCCGCTGAAAATGTCCTAATTTTTAAGAATGACTGAACAGGTCAGATCAAGTAGCATATGTAGTTTTTAGAATAGTTATTGTCACAACAGCATTCCGTATCCATTCTGCTGATCAGCGTGTTAACCGGAGTGTCCATTGCGAAGTGAAATAAAAATCTATGTGCAAATCTTTGATTACGTTCATACACACATACACACACATTTTCGCATACAGCAAATATACATTTACACACTGCGTTGTATATTTACTCGTTGACCAATTCATGTATGTCACATATCGAAAATATCTCACATATCTAAAGAAATATTTTATGTATTGCTAGAATTAAGAGCGAAGAGGTTTCCACGATACTTTCAAAAGAAATATGTCATACAGCCATTGACATATTTGCGGGTGCTTGTATAAATGTGTTTTTTCGTCTGATAAAGATTTCGTTTTCCTATTCATGGTTCTTGTAAGTGACTCATTGTTTACATGTAGAACCCCGTGTAGCTATAGAGTTGTTTATATATACATATATAAATATACATATGTAGTCCCCATCTCAAACAGGGTCTGTGTTTTAGTGTCCGTGTTGTAGAGCCAGCTGGTATCAACAGAACCTTTGTATCAGGAGTCTCAGCCTCTGCGGTTGGGATTCCTCGTTCAGCCATGATGAAGGGTTTGTGAAGTGCCACGCGTAACCAAGCTAACTAGTATATTAAGAGAGAAAAATAGACATTAAAATACTAACGTGCCATAGTATCAAAGAGATTTTAAAAATATATATATATATGTGAGTGTGTACCAGTTTGTTGCCAGTGTTTTAGTCCCTACCCCATGTTTATATCCCTATTTGACACATGATGCTTTGTTAGAGTTTGTCAAACACGTGATCAGATATTCATGATGTTACGTTATGCCAAAAATGTTTGGGATAGATTACGCACTTTACGAGATATGAAAAAAAAACATTTTTTTATTCTGTTTCTTATTATTGATCTATTCATCTATCTATTTATTTTTTCTCTCTCATTCTTCCTTTATACCGGTTTCGTTTATCAGTTCATCTGTCTTTCCATCTCCGTCGATACATCCATCATCCTACTCCGATTCTCTTCTCTGTGTATCTGATCCTCTTCCATGAGGAGAGTCTTTACCAGATTGCCAGAACCTAAGTTTCTACGTGTACTTTTACAGCATATGAATCAAAAGTCGGTTTTAGTGAATCATTTGCATATTATCCTGATTTGAAACTTTTGCCGTTGTTTAGCATAATGATGACGTTCTTGTATTCATGAATATTAGAATTACTGCTATGATTATATAATGATTGTTGGTATCAATAAAGCTCTATAACAGAAGTCAATGTGATTATCTTTATCAGTACTTATTTGAAATTTATTTTTTGCATTGAGGTGATCCATGTAATTCCCAAGAAAAAAAAAATTCTAGAGGAGTTAGAATAATGGTTCCTAAATTTTTTTCCATGACAAACACAAAACTCACCAGATGAGGAGAATTAAAAATTCAGTTGTAAACCATTATATGATTATATAGGAGAAACAGTGACAGGTAAGTGATGCAGGCAGAACAAACACAAAAACTGAATTTGGGACAATCTATGAAGCTCATGTGACAGTAACCGAAACCGGTAGATTTTATTTCATTTTGGAATCTTGCGGTAACTAAAGGTACTGTCAGCCCAGGGTCTTGCAACAACCAGTTTGGGAACAATTGAAATAAATAGACAC